GGGTACGGATATTAAATGGAATACATGTAGCCCAATGTTGATTTTTTTGTGAAAAATTTTTCAATTTTGTATTCACTAATTTGGCCTTGATAGTACTGGCAAGAACTCAATACTGTATCACTACTTGTAGAAGGGATATTGTAGATGGAAATTGGGTCGTTCCAGAAAAGATCCACACCCCCCCACAGAGGAAATTTCTGCCGTCCGGAGGGGGAGGGGAGAAAAAAATGTTTCTGATAATAGCATGTAAATGTATTAGGACATGCGAAGGGGGTAGGGGGTTAACTTCCTATTTCCTCTGTGGGGGTGGTATGGATGTTTTCTGGAATGACCCATTATTGAGTGGAAATTTATATACATTTATTAGGCCTAACAGATGCGAAAAATGCAACTTTAAGTCCATGACAGGAATCAAATCTGTGGCCCTGTTATTGAGCTACTTGTCGACCTGTAACCACAAGTTGATGTATATATACTATGGCAGGGCTCGAATTTTATTGTGGCAATTGCCGTAGAAGGAGAAAAAATGCTGTGGTTTATTGCGGCAACGATGGCAATTTTTTGCCATATAGTGTAATTTAATTTATACTATTCACTGCATGTGCATTACTATTTTGATACTTGAATTCAGATGTTGATCAAATCGTGCGTAAATTACTATTTTAGTCTCAGTTTTCTTGTCAACAATTCATGCAAACTAACAATAAACTTAAATTTTTATTAATTTGAAAAAATGCCATCGGTGGAAACTGCCAAAATTGCCGTAGACAGCTGTTACGTTCTACGGCAATTTTTAACTCCACTGCCGTCGATTGATTTCAGGGAAATTCTAGGCATGTACTATGGTACTGCCATTTAAGGTTATATGTGTAAATATCAAGATTTTGTTGGCATCTCACTTGTTTGAATTATAGTTGAAAGTTATTGTGGATGGAAATTATTGAGTGGAAATTTATGAACGACTGAGATGCCAACAAAGTCTTGATAACTACTGCCCTTATACCAGTGTGGAAAGTTTGTATCGCGTTGGTCCTAAAAAAATAGCTGTGGTTCCAGTTTCATATTGTGAAAAAATTAGGGTCGGTAGGTCGGAAATAAAATTTTTTTTGATTATTTTTTTCATGTTTTTTTTCCCCAATAATTAGTGTGACAATACTCGCCGTTTTGGCAGCAGCTCGCAACCACCCGGAGAAAATAGGGTTGCACAGTCAATTCGACTCAATTGCGTTGAAAAAATAATAGGGTCGGCAGAAAAAAATAGGGTCGGTTGGAAACCGGAACCAAAGGACCGTATTTTTTTTAGGCCTTGTGGAGATATTGGCCATGTCATTTTGATGCTTTCTGTATATTTGTACCTTTAAGCAATGCACCCTACATTGTTATTTTACTCTGTCTAATGCCAGATGATTTTACTCATCAGGGAGAGAGTGCTAAATCTCTGGCGCCCAGTTTTAAAACTTTCCAGTCAGGTGGCCTTACGATTCCATTGCCGCACTTCTACCAACTGACTCTAACTGCAAATTCATAGAGAAGTTACTGTAGAGCTTGACAACTGGTTGGTTTGATTCATCACAGACTGGAAAATTTGCAGTGCACACAGAAGATCTTCCATGCGCATGCAAAAATTCATGTGCGCAAATCAGACTGCAGTGTGGAGCCCGCTTTTCAACAAGATCTCTGGTGCGCAAAACTGTTCCCAAGTGCGAACAAAAGTACTTCGTAGCCTGACACATGTTCAAAACAATGAGAATCATAGATTTGAGGGCACATTTTGCAAAGTGCAAAAATTGCATGTTGCAAACATTTCAGCCTAAAAAAAATTATGCGACGTTCAGGGGTAACTAAAGTGGGGACCACTGGGATCGACGGTCGCAGGCACATTTTGTAAAACTTTCTGACAACAGCTACCAGTGCACGGTGCACATGCATGATTGTGAGTCTGAGCTTAAAATTCTCGATTGCTTGGGAAAAAATATATAAAGCCATAACTCTAAGCCAGCCTACTAATCGGCATCTATAGTGTAATTCATGGCTGATGGCTCATCACGTCGTGATTTCACATGTTGCATGAAGACATTTTTCAGGCACATTTTCATGTAATTTTTGTGGAGGCAGGCCCGCAAAAAAGTGAACACCCCCTGGCGACGATGACCAACTCTGCAGTCTGGTGCACAAAATTCTATCTTCAGCGAGTGTCAAGTGCGCAATTGGCCTTGAAAGACAAAGGTATTGAATGAAAATTCTTCCATTTCTATAGGTTGTTGGCGACGAAATTGATGCAAATACAGAAAATATGGAGCAGGAAAGTTATGAATCGATTTACTTGTTACTGGATTCCTGAGCCCTGGCTACAGTATATGTACAGAAATTTGGGTGAAAGACTTGCTGGAAATCTTGCTAACTTAAAAACAATGCACGTAAGTACAATTTCAATATGTTTAATAAGTAGCCTGCATGTCAGATGGTCGGGCAGAAAATATCTTCTGTCGGGTTTGGCTACAGTATGTGTTTCCCATCATAGTGATACTGCCCCCATGTACTGTATTATGTAACAGTTAAAAATAAATGTTCTGTTACTTAATATGTAAACTAACAGCACAATTAAATCAAATACTTAATTATAGTAGCGATAGAACCCCCTGGATTCTTTTCCAGATAAAACCTATACAGTATAGAAACAAATACGGTTACATGATGTTTATTGATGAAACTTTCAACCATGTCCGAGTGTACCGTCTGTGTTAGCATTATGAACACCAGTCGCAATGAATGTTCTGCATGCACGTTTTATCTTGGCCAAAACAAGTGAAATATGTTTTCCAATATACAAATAATGAATGTTTATGAGTGCAATGGTAAGAATATTTTCATGAGGTGAAAGATGGAATATTCCATTCAATGAGGAGACAGCCGAGTTGAATAGAATATTCCAATATTCACCGAATGAAAATATTCTTACCATTGCACGAAAAAACATTCATTATTTGTTTTATATAATATCAAAATAGACTAATATTTTCATATGAGAAGCATTTTGATGGATGCGATTTATCGAAAACACAAAGAGTGCAATTGTACTATACGTTTTATTCCATTGCACTCGCAGAGAGTGCAATGGAACGTGTTCCATTCTGTTCCATTGCACTCTTGGGAAATGGAATGTTCTATTCAATATCACGTGACAATAAACAACCAATTAAACGATCAGAATTCAATAAGGTATTATATAACAAGTAATGGACCATTTGCATTATAGACTAAATTTTGATCTAAACATAAAACAAGTCTAGACAAACATTTCATCATAGCTTGAAAGAGCATCACAAAATTAGTAATATTCCAAAGTTTCGTTGCGAAATGTTGTAAAATGCGGATAATATAGCCTTGCGAAGTTTGCCGTTTTTCAGTCATTTTGTATTACAAACGGGAAATTGACAGCTCCAAAGGGTATTGGGCTGTCAATTTCCCCCTCGTAATGCAGAATGACTGAAAAACGGCAAACTTCGCAGTGCTATATTATCCACATTTTATAACATTTCACAACGAAACTTTGGAATATTACTAACTAATTTTGTGATGCTCTTTCAAACTGTGATGAAATTTTTGTCTAGATTTGTTTAGATCAAAATTTAGTCTATAATGCAAATGGTCCATTCTCTAACTCACAACCTATTCTTAGCATATTTCCTCTTTATTAACAGTAAATAAGGAACATATATGATCAATTAATCAGGGTTCGTAGCGGTCTTTGAAATCCTTGAAAGTCTTTAAATTTGAATGCAGGTCTTTAAGGTCTTTGAAAAGTCTTTGAATTGTGTGAAAATGCGAAGAAAGTCTTTAAAAGTCTTTAAATTCTTTAGTAAGTGTTTGATTATACGATTTCCTATAGCTAATAAAATAGGTTGATTGAAGAGCAAGGTTTTCGCAATATAGACGAAAAGTGATTTGACGGGACTAATAGACACTTCCCGAATTTGCTTGAGTGCACACGAAACAATAGCTTGGAATCGAGGCGGACAATGTAATCATTGTAAATAAGTATAGTTATTTACAATGATTACATTGTCCGCCTCGATTCCAAGCTATTGTTTCGTGTGCACTCAAGCAAATTCGGGAAGTGTCTATTACCGGGTAACAATGGCGCTTACACTCGCAATTTTGCGACAGCTGATTGCTCTGAAAGGACTTTGAGGTCGACCTGACCGCGTAGCTCAGTTGGCAGAGCATTGGGCTGAATTTTCAAAGGTCGTAGGTTCGATTCCCACTGTGGCCAGGCATATTTTTAAGCTTGCCCGGTGTGGATATACTGTACACTCAGAGTAACATCACAAACATCATATTCACCTGAGTGCATAACACCAACACAGAAAAATCATACTTGCATGGACTTGGTTGTTATTGGTTGTGACTGAATGGGACTAAATCCTGAATAAATTGAATGTCGATACAGGCATGTACGTCTTTTGTGCATCATGGTAAAGGAATAAAGCGCGGATCTTTCAAACTTATAACTCGATCGATCGTAGTGAATACTTCTACTCATATACGCAAATATTTCTCGTCAGGCTTCTCGAAGAGAAGATGGATCCCCCACGCTCTCTTCTCGGATATAGAATAAAGTGTGACTGAATGACTTCGTCTATACAGTTTTAATTATTAGTTTATGTTCTGCAGACTTTAATTGATCAGTAATTAGGTCAGACCTGGAAATAATTCTAGCCTCTCTTGGATCCTAGGCCGGTGGGGAGTTTCTTTGAAAACACTGTCATCAAATTTAGGCCCGAGGGGCGGGTATTTTCTTTGAAAACACGGTCATAAAATTCAGTTGGTTTAACAGCACTTAAATTTTTACTCTTACAGCTGTTAGGCATTAGGGATTTGAATTTTCACAATCACATTCCTAAGTAGGTTTACGGTCGAGTGACCTCCGTTTTATTCCGGCCGTAAATAAGTAATTTCCCATTGTACATCGCACATCTTTATAACAAATTAAATCTAAAGATCTGGTTCGTCTAGTTATCATAATCTCAAATCGATCGAAAGGAGTTGTATTGGATTCTTTTGTGGTGATTTTGTATCATATTTCAGCGTCGCTCGCTACAACCAGGAATTTTGGTTCATGCACAGAATATCTCAGTCGTCTTAGTGGAATCCTCGTTTTCTTCAACACCAATATCCAATTTTTAGGCTAATTGTCACGCCAAAATATCGGTATTTTGTTACGCCAAAATTTTGTCTCAAAGTATGCACACACGCCAATTACGCTATTCACTCGGTTAGAAATTAAAAATATGAATATAACCTCGGAACTTCCCACAGTGTAAACGTATATCTTCTTTTACTGAGAAATTCCAAAAGGCATACAGTACAAGGTACATACAGTAACCACTGTATGTACTATTAATCATAATTGTGTAATATTAGACATGACAGTGATGACAGACATTTAACCCAAGAATAAACTCCCACAACCGCAAAATTTATTAATAATATTGATAACAGAATAATATGAATATTTTGTGGTTATACGTGAACCTTTAAAGCGAGAAGTCGGAAAAAAATACAGCAGGAATGGAAGTTTGACTTCCCTGCATAGAAGTTTGTCAACCACATTACTCCTCTTATAAGAGGATAAACGAACAGCACGCTCTCCTAGTACCGGGCACATATGAGATTTCAATTTCAATTGCTTGTCTCCATCTATGTATATCTTTGCAATTTCTGTTATTGCAGTATCAAGCTGGATCACTGGCGGGAAGCACCAATCAATCTTTGTCCTGAAAACAACAAGCGAGTCCCCTATCAGTAGCTGTAAACATGTTCTTATTGCAACAAAAATGTGCTTTTTTAAAATCTCAATAACCCACCTGAGTGTCAGGACCTCATTGGACTGTCCCCCTTGCAATGACTGTGAAGCCATTGTTGAGTAAAAGCTCTCAACAATGGATTCAGTTCCACCTTTGGCTAGCGCAATATCTTGTACTATGCACACTTCTTTCCCAAGGATGTTGTACACCTCACTATTTGTGTACATTGACTGGTACACCTTTGCTTCGTCAAGAATGATAATGAGAGTCTTGCTCTCGAACTCCATTTTATACATGTTGCAAAGGTAACATGTTTTTGGAAACATTTTATCACATACAGATAGATTGGTAGCATATGATGCAAGTTGTTCATATAATAAAAAAGATATAAATAACTTCACATCTTACCGAAGTTTGTTCCATTTGGGTCAGGCATTTTTCTTTCATCCCACCGTGCCATTTCGACATTTCCCGCTCATATAAAAACTTTTTACCGAAATAAAAGCAAAATCATTTGATTATTTCGGGATAATTTCTAATTTTACGGAAATTTGGAAAAAAATGTCGAATAGAGTGTAGTGCAATGCTTGTGGTTTGCGGTTTTTGATTACAATTATTCGGAACTTTATGTAGTTCCTACTAACGACCGCTTGTGGAGTTCTTTAAGTCACTGGTCACGCCAAACAAAACGAACTGAATTTTTACGCCACGCCAACTAAAATTGCCTAAATGTTCAACACCACGCCAAAGTTTTCAAAAAAATCTGGTGCGCCAATATATTTGGCGTAACATACGTCGATTCCACTATGGTCAGACAGGACACTCATGGTCCTATTCATTTGAAATCTCTTAAGTGAAAGAAGTGATAGACTGAAAACTCTCAATTTATTACCACTAATTACTTACGATCGAGAAATCAGAGATCTTGTTCTGGTTTATAAATGTATTTTCGGCCACACTAATTTGAACGTTGAGCAGTTTGTATCATTTATACTTCATAATCGAACTCGTACTCAGAATCAATCTCTAATGTTAAAATCTCCTTACTGCAGAACATCCACTTTCCAAGGATCGTTCTTTAACCGAATAGTTAAAACTTTGAATAATGTTGGAAAAATAGCCTGTCCTGAAAGATCGTGACTAAAACACCACACGAGTACATACGAGTAACATACGAGTAACACACAGGTACATACGAGTACATACGAGTAACACACGAGTACATACGAGTAACATACGAGTACATACGAGTAACACACGAGTACATACGAGTAAAACACAAGTACATACGAGTACATACGAGTAGAATACGAGTAAAATACGACTAGTAAACTTGTTTTTAGTGTTTGTAGATTGAATACAGGCAAAAAGATCGTCTTCCCTGTCGAAAAACGTGAAATAGACTGAAACCGGCTATCTTTAAAACCCGGAACGGGGAATGGGGGAACGGGGAATGGAGAAACGGGGAATGGGAGAACGGGAAGTGGAGGAACGGGGAACGGAGGGAATGGTGGGGCGAGGGGGAAAGGGAGAAAATAGGAGACAAGGGGCGGGGGAGGTCTGCCAGATTCTATAAACCACAACTTTGTAGTTTGTACAACATCTACTTTTAGGTATTCTACCTAGATAGTTAGATACATGACACAAACCATAGGCTTCACATATTTCACGGCATGGTTTGCTTTCAAAACCCTGTGAGCATGCACAAAACCTAACTCACTAAATGCATCTACTTAAAATAGTACTAGGTGATAAACTTACAATCCTCACATAGCCTCAATCATAACATGTGGCTAGGCAAATATACGAACTACACAGTTAACTTATACCGTGACGACATACGACAGTTCCGAGACCGAAATACAAGACAACAGGGCCTTTTTTAAGGATTTTCCCGTGGGGGGTATTTTTTGAAAAGGGATCTTAGATAATATATTAGAGGGGGATAACAATGGCCGACGGCCACGTGTGTGGCCGACATACTCCCCCACGGAAAATGTTTTAAATTTGAACCTTTCAAATACCATTTCCTGCTTTATGAGCGTCTAAATTTGCTCTAAAATTTATGCTAATTATACTTGCATTTGAAATAAAAGAAGGAAAAATGCAGATAAAATAAAGGAAATATTAACAATAATTTATCCAATACTTATTATTAAAGGGGGATAGCAATGGCCGTGGGCCACGTGTGTGGCCGACATACCGCGAATGAATAGGGGGATCTGGAGGCATTACCTCCCCCAGAAAATTTTTGAAATTTCAAGCCCAAAAATGCCATTTCCTGCCGTCTGAGCATCTAAATTTTCTAGAATTTACCCTAACTATACTTCTATTTGAAATAAAAGAAGGAAAAAACGCACAAAGAATTTAAAAAATATTAACAATAATTTATCATTACTTAGTGTTAGAAACACGTAGGATGCGCACGCGGTGACACAGTCCTTTAAATCGATTTTGTTAAACAAGGACAAAGGATAAAGCCTAAAACGTACGTTCCGTTTATCAATTTGTTATTCTTCGCTGGTTTGTTTGTATAAATTTAGGAAAAAGGGACTTTTCCTGGGGGGGGGGGGTGAAAGTGAGCCTCAGAACGTGCATTTTCATTTCCGATCAGCCTGCATCAGAGCAAAGTATCCAAGCTTTCCTGGCGACGTTCTCGTTCCTCCAGACTTTCCTCCCCTTCTCAAGGTGGAGCACGTCCAAAGGCTTGCAGGAGAGTTCGGCTGGGTCCTTTAGAAACGTACTTGCCAACTTAAATTGCTAACTTAAAATCTGCGTATTTTGAAGTATTTTGTGTTTTGTTAGTTTTGCTTTGTAAGATATTTAAAATAGGATAATCACTTTAAGATATCATATGGAGCATAAGGACTGCCTTGGGCTTGCATCTGTCCTTAAGTTTGTTTTATTATATAGCAAGTATATTAGTAATGACATAAGCAATGTTATTATTATTAATATTACTTAATGATCGGACATAAGCAATGTGGATTGACTTTTTTATGATACGCTGTACTAATAAAGGAAAGCTTCGCTAAATTTCTTTGCTAGTTTTAATTCATTGAGCGGTTTTCTAATTCCCAAGACACCAGAGTCCGTTTTATAGTTTCGTAATTCCCTGATTCCCGTTTATCCTGTCGAATTTCTGTTTCTTTTTTTCTGTTCTTTTCCCCCCGTACATATGATTAATATTACGTATTAA